GAGCTAGTAACATGGTCACGCTACCGGAATATTGATGGGTGATGGCCTCGCGGCTTACTACTTACATAGGTCGGTATATCGATACTACATGCTCGACCAATTCCCACCAAGGACTGATTCGCGCTAGAGGACGCTTCAACCGACATTAGTCAAAGTAAAGGAAAGTATTACATCGTACTGACGCCAACAAATCATTTTGGATTTACGAGCGTGCATCACGCCCGCGAAGGCGACGAGGGGCGCCACGCTCGCGTAGAACAAGAGCGACGGGCTGTGGACGGCGTCGCGCGGCGAGAGCAGGACGGGGATGCTGAGGCGCTGGTCGAGGCGGGACCAGTACAGGGAGAGGTGCATGCTGTGCGGGCTGACGCCGAGCTCGAGGCCGAGCTTGGAGAACCGGCCGACGGTCCAGAGGTTCCGGACGGCGACGTACCGGTCCAGGAGCGTGTTGGAGCACAGCTCCAGTTCGAGCCGGGCGGGACCGGGGCCCGGCAGCGGCAGGTCGCGGCCGTACCTGAGGTAGCCGGCAACCGTGTCCGCCGTCAGAGAGGCCGAGACCGTCCACGAGCCGTCGCTGCCGGCGCCGTTCTCGCAGTCGAGCCCGCGGATGCCGCACTCTCCCCTGGGCGAGTCTTCGTGGCCCGTAGACGGCATCCGCTCCGGCGACGTCGTGTAGCCCATCTCGAAGCTTGCGGACGTCTTCATGGGGAACTCGGCGAGCAGCTGGCTCTTGCTCACCTGGGAGAAGTCGGTGAACAACTTGATCGTCTCGCCGGGCCAGACGCTCCAGTCGCCGCTGTCCGCCATCGCGTACGCGGTCCCGGCACCCATCCAGCGGTGGATCCCGACCCCGACGCGGGGAGGCGCCCCGGCCCACGGCCTTCCGGACCGCACGCTGCCCTCCAGCAGGATCGGGTTCGGGTCATCGGGCAGATGGATCGGGTGCGACACCCTGGCCGTCAGCGACGACTCCGGGAGGACTTCGCTCTCGACCTCGACCGCCGTCTTGGCGATGCCATCTTCGGCCGTCCTGTGGACGATGTCCTGTCGGAATTTGAGACTGATGAGAGGACACGGGCGCTGCCCCGCGAGCTGCATGATGCGCTTCCGGGGTATGGTCAGGGGCAGCAGAGGTTGGTAGCGGTCGGCCAGCAGCGGCAGAGGAACCCTGTATATCTCCTCGACGATGCCGTAGACCGAGCCGGTCAGGGTCAGCTGGGGCGGGGGCAGGTATACCATGGGCTCCCGCGGGTGGTGGTCGGCGTTGGCCTGGTCGAGCTCGTTGAGCGCAATGGACGGCACACGCTTCGACGAGGAGGCGGCGCGTCGGCTCGTTGCCGAGGCTGTCCTCTCGATGATCCGGCCGAGCACCGGAAGGCCTACTGTCACGGAGTGGCTCAGGGTGAAATCCAAGGGTGCAACGGCAGAGCTCTCGCGGATGGCCTTGGAGGCGTCGAAGCGGATGCCCAGATCGGACGACGTCTGCACGACGTCGGCCGCCCGCTGCCTCAGCTGCTCCTTCAGCGACAGGTCGTATGCGTATCGGTAGTCCTCGTCGAGAGGGGCGCCGGGCGCACCGGTCGTGTCTCTCAGCTGGGTCGCATCGTACAGCGCTCGTCGGTGGGGGTCGATCAGGGTCTCGAAACCCCTCTGGACCTGGTCGAAGTAGGGCTGGGCGACGAGGTGCAGGTTCTCGGGCAAGCCGTCCTTGTGCAGGTACAGCAGCAAGCGGTGGTAGGCCCTCCGGATCTGGTCGGGGGTCAGGGACGGGTCCTTGGGCAGGCACATCAGGTCGTAGTAGTCCCCCTCGGCGCCGTCGGGGGCGTCGGGGTCGGGGGCGTGGGTGTTCGCAGCGACGGTGCTGTCGTCGGCGAGGTCGGAGGCGAGGGTCATGCGGTCGATGATGGACGAGGCGTCGTCGTCGCCGAACTCGTACTCTTGTCGGGTGGCGGCGAACTGCTCGTTGAGGGAGAAGCGCGAAGAGGCGGAGCGCAGGCTGTGGTGCAGTTGTTGTTGGAAGTTGGCCGGGTGGAGGTAGGAGTAGTCCTCCCATGCGGCCGAGGAGCGAGCGGACGAGTTTCTCGACGGCCCGCCCCGGGTTCGGCGGACCCGGAGGCTGCCGGAGCGGCTCGGGGACTCGGCCATGATGGCGGGGGGTGGTGGTGGAGAGAAGAATACTGCGCAATCTGGGAGGAGGGAGAGGAGGAGGAGGAGGAGGAAGAGGAGAAGGCGGCGGAGGTAGGGTTGCGACTGCGAATGCAACTGCGACCGCGGTGACGACGACGACGACGAAAAGGTTGAACAAAGAAAAGTGGTGGAGGACAACAGACAAGGAACACAGGCCCCGTGAGGTTAATTACTCACGTTGCCCATGTTTACTTTCCCACGCGTAGCCCACATTACTACGTACTGTACGTACGACAAACGGGGCCTTGGGGCTTGGTTGCAGGGATGCATTCCCAGTCCGGGGATGTCAGGGAACATATCCAGTGTCAGGGAACATGGATATGGACAAGGACAAGGACATGGCATCCACAGCTCGATCCATGCGCTCCTCCCGCTGGATTACCTAATCCGGGAGAAGACAGCTTCAGCTGGACAGGATTCACGCCGACAATTGATTGACCCTCGCCTGTTGTCTCAGCCCCCAGAACAGCGCTGTTTCCACTGATGGCTGCCACGGCGACGGCGGTAGCGGCAGCGGCAGCCATGTTGCCGAGAGGCTGAAGAACGGCCCCACCATTGCCGGCCCGGGTACGGCACCTACAGGTCAAGTCTGCTAGGTCGGAAGCTCCCTGAATCTCTCTGAATCGACTTACAGATACGGATATATAGGGCTAGTTATGCAAGGCCTAAGCGAGATAATTGCTCTGACAAAACATCATCCCACAGAAACCCCAGAAACATCCCACCACTGGCAGGGTGGGTTTTCAGCCGACCCAGCCAGGGTTAGCAGCGCATGTCAGTCAGCATCTTATCTTCTCATCACCCCCCAATGCGGATTCCCACTCAGCCCTGCATTCTTCACCTCACCGCACCTCACCTCACGCAACCCACATCGTTCGTACGATCAAGCCAACAAACAGCGCCATGCCCAGCCCGTGACTGCGACCAAGGGAAAAACCAACATGTCGGCCCTCTTCACAACCACCGACTGGCTGTCCACCACCTCCACCTCTCCCGACGCCAAGGCCCCACAGGCCTGCGCCAGCTGCAGGAAGATGAAGAGGAAGTGCGACAAGTCCCTCCCCGCATGCGGGCTCTGCACCCGCATGGACCGCCGGTGCGACTACGCAGACCCCCCGCCGCCGCCGCCGCCGCCGCATCAGCAGCAGCAGTATCCTGGGCCGACCGCCGACGACTTCGCCGCCCTTCAGCTGAAGCTGCTCGAGCTCGAGAGCCGGCTGGACCACCAGGCCGGGCCCGCCGCCGCCGTCGCTTCGGCCCTTTTCTCCGACGCAGACGCGGCAACGGCCTTTGGCGCTGTCGTCGGATCCGGTCTCGGCCCGGACCACCCGGGCTCGACGTCGGCGCAGTACCCGCCCGACGTGTTCCTCGACATATGGGCCTTCAAGGCGTTGAACCAGTCTCTCCCGCGGCCCTCGGTCGACATCCCCGCCGTACGTCGCCGCCCGGCGCCGCCAACCCCCTCCTCCTTGATGGCGAAAAAAAAAAAAAAACCCCCCGGCTGACCCGCGCTGAGAACAGGAAGTCCTCGAGCTGCTGGGCGACAGCGCCACGGTCCAGCGGGCCGTCGAGGCCTACTTCGCCGGCACCCACGCCTGGCTGCCCATCGTCTCCAGGGAGCGCATACACATGGGCGCCGCCCTGGCCCAGGGCGGCCCGGACCTGGCCATGCTCTTCCTCGCCATGCGCCTCATCGCCGCCGCGCCGGACGACGTCGCCGCCCCGGGGCGCCTCCTCCCCCCGCTCCCCGAAGTCTACGGCGCCGCGAAGCGCTTCCTGTCGCTGCTCGAGGGCGCCGGCTTCGCGTCGCTGATGGTCCTGCAGGCCATGGTGCTGGTCGCCTACTTCGAGTACGCCCACGCCGTGTACCCGGCCGCCTGGCTCACCGTCGCGTCCTGCGTGCGGTACGCCGACTTTCTCGGCCTGCCGGGGCTTCGCGAGAGCAACGTTACGCTAAAAGTGCCGGTACGCGTCCCCCCTCTTTGTTTCTCATCATCACCCCCGAACCGTGGTCTTTTATTTATTTGGACAAAGAACCTCTGCTAATTACCGAGCGCGCGGCAAGTCGACGTGGACGGAGCTGGAGGAGCGGCTGAGGACGTGGTGGGCGATCCTTGTCCTCGACCGCATCATCTGCCTCGGCAACGGGAAGCGCTACCTCTCGCCCGAGCCCGACGACGACATGAACTTTCCCGTAGACGACGAGGTTTGGGTAAAAAAAAAAACATCTCCATCTTTTCTTTTTTTATCTTTTTTCTTTTTTCTACCAAGCCCCCCCTCAAGGCCAAAGAAAAACAGAAAACGAAAAAAGACTGACCGTCCCCCAGGACGAAGGCCACATCGGCCGCGCGGCCCACCACACCGTCGCCTCCCCGCCTCTCTCGACCCCGTCCCCCTTCTCCTCCCTCTGCCGCGCCGCCCTCCTCGCCGGCAACGCCGTCGCCCACGTCCGCAGGACGGCCCCGCACAATGATCTTGCACGGACTAACACTCGATTAATAAGATTTGGAGTTCTAATACTGACAAAACCTCCCGACCGTGCGCGCACGACTGCTACAGCTGCCCCGGCAACATCGACGGCCGCGTCCGCACCCCCGAGGAGACGGCGCACCAGATCCGCTCCGTCGAGGCCCTCGTGCATGCCAGCGGCGAGGCCGCCGCGCTGGCCGAGGAGCTGCTGCTGCTGTCGCCGTCGCTGCCCCGGCAAGACGACCCCGCCGGCGACGGCAGCGACGTGAGCCCGCTCGTCCTTGACGCGCTGTACGGCGCCGGCGGCACCCTCGCGTGGATCGTGCGGGAGGAGGGGCCGGCGCGGCACGCCGACGGGGTGGCCGCCATCAAGCGCTGCCTGGGCCGGCTGGGCGCGCGGTGGAGGCTGGCGGCCGAGTACGGGCGCATGCTGGAGCAGCAGGGCCTTGCCTTCATGATGCAGGAGGGGGGACACTCGACGCTGCACATCTAGTGGTCTTCTTTTATCCCCATATTTTTTCCCTTTCTCTAGCACGGCTCCAAGGTCGTCAATGGGTAGTGCCAGCCGGCTGGGTGGGCAAGATAAGGAATGATATATAGCTATATATATATCTATATATCGAGGGAAATAATGGGAGATGGGGCTTGATTTCCATCAAAAAAAGTCTGGCCAAATAATACCAAGATGGGAGAAGGGAGGGGGGACGTCCCAGGATGCCCTGGCCCTGCGCAATATTGTAGATACTAACACCGTATCCTACCAGAAGGAGGTTTTCTTCCTCCTTTTCTCTCTCTTTTTTCTCATCTTTCTTTTAAAAAAAAAACACTCCCACCAAGTGATCACCCGTCCCCCGCGACTCTACTCTTGTCCGGCATTGTCCCCCTTTTCATAGAGCGATCAGACAAGCTAATAATGCCCCCCCCTTGACAACCTGAGAGTACCGTGTGCGCTGGCCTATACAGGCTTAACCTAACAATAGATATAGATAATAAGGCTTTATCTAATAGATAGGTAGGTATATAAAAAAAAAATAGGTTATACCTTATAAAAACGTTTCTAGACTAATTAGGAACTAGTATATAAAAGTTTTTTTAGGGTGTATATACTAAAAACGTTTTTAGACTAATTAGAAACTAGTATATAAATATTTTTTAAGGCGTATATACTAAAAATATTTCTAAACTAATAACTATTTAAATAAATAATTTTCTTTATTTTAGTAAGGTAATTATACTACTAGTTAATAGTTATAATATTATTAAGATAATAATTTTAGTATAAATAGGCTAAAAACGTTTTTAAAATATTTCTAGATATAATAAGAATAATTTAAGAAATATTTTTAATTTTTTAGTATTAAGAACGTTTTAGAAACGTTTTAGAAACGTTTTTACTAATCCTATTAGTATAATAGTAAGTTAACTATAGCTAAATATAGTAAACCTAATAGATATTAAAAAGACTATACTATTCTTAATACTATATATCCTAAAAGATAAGTTTTATAATCTAAAAGAAAATTAAAATATTATTAGTAATAATATTATGTTTTTTATATATTTAAGTTTATAATAAGAAATAAATCCTATTTAGTAAGATATTATTTATTAAGTAAAATATTATTTTCTTATTAGAAGTATATTAAAAGAACTAAAAAAAAATAATAAATAATAAAACTATAAGATATTAAGCCTATTTTTATCTTAAATATAAAGCTTATAAATAGAAGATTATATCTTAATAGAAATATTCTTATAGTTAAATAGATTTACTATTTTATAAGAATCCTAAAGATACTAAATATATTAAAGACTAGTATTATATTTATTATTTTAATAAAGTTACTATTATAAGAAGTAGTTAATATACTATAAAATACTATATATTTTACTATTCTTTAGATAAATAACTTACTAATCTAGTTATAAATCTAGTATAATATAAAATAAAAGGTAGCTTTATTTCTAACTATATATATAGCTCTTAAGGATATACTAGTTATATATTACACTTATATCTATACTAGTAGTAAAGTATACCTATATACTTCTATTATAGACTTTTACTACTTTAGCCTTACTTTAGAGTTAGCTAAGTAAATAAAAGCTATATAGACTAAGGTAAAAGAGTTTACTATTAAGAAAAAAATACTAGTATAAGTAAGAAGATCTTTAGAACGTTTTTAATTAGTTTTAAGTAAAAACTAAAAGATAAGTAGTATAATATATAGAATATACACTAGATTTTAAAAAGGTCTTATATATAATACTTAGATTAAAACCTATAAGCCTAAGGTAAAGAAATTAAACTATAGTATAAAAGTTATCCTTTATATTAAGAGATAAACTAATATAGGTTAGTATCTTATTAGTATTTAATAATAAGTTATTTACTATGTAAACTTATATACTTAAAAAACTATACTAATTATTTCTAGCTTATAATTCTTACTAAATAGATAAGTCTTATAGACTATATCTATAGTAGACTTAATAGTACTAATAATAAGCTAGTAAAAGAAAATAAGTAAAAATACTTCTTTTTTATAAGTAATAAATAAAAAAGGCTAATATATAGTATAATATATTTTATATATACTATAAGAGAATTAACTAATTCTTTTTAATAAATAAGGTACACTATAAAGAACTACTATAACTATAAAAGATAAAGTATAAGATTAAAATAAGGTTTTTTATCCTAAAAGATCTTTAAATAATACTATATATTCTTTTTACCTCTTATAGCTAGCACTTATATCTCCTCCTACTAGCTACTAAAACGCCTAGGTCTATTATAAATAGACTTATAAAAGTAGTTAGGCGTATTAATAAACTAAGAATAAGCCTAAGTAAGAATATAAGAAAAACCTTAGAAAATCTTTACTAATATATTTCTAGATATATTTCTTTACTTTAATAAACTAAAATAGTTTATTTTAAAATATAAGGGAAAGTTAATTATAGATATATATAGAAGCCTTATAAATATAGACTATCTTTAGTATATTATTTAAAAGTAATAAATTCTTTTATTTCCTAAAAGGATATAAGTAATTACTATTATACTATAGTAAACTAAAGAATAAAACTAGTAAATATATATAAGAGTATTTTATTATTTTAATAATTATTATATACTAATAGAAATTGATTAAAAGTATATATAGTATTCTTATTAATTATATAGTAACTATATAGTTATGTACTTTTTTAAAAAATAAGTAAAGTAATAAATATTTACTAATATAAAAATATTTATAGTTAATACTAATTATAAATATATAAGAGGTATATACTATTATAAAATTATTTAGGCGTAATATAGTTATAAATTAGAGAAAAGTAGGGATATAAAGATAATTTATTTAAGAAATATTCTTAACACTTTTTAGTACTCCTACTTACTTAATACTTTACTAATTTAGAAACTATAAATATATATTACTATATATTTTATATAGTTTTTAATATACTTAAGTAAAAATATATAGTTAAGGCTAAGTAGAAGTATATCTATAGTAAAGGACTTCTTAAGGTAACACTAGACTAAGGCCTTAGTGTAATCTAGGGCTTTAAATAATACCTATAAAGTAAGTTCTACCTATAAGAAACATAGGAAATATAAGTTTAAAACACTATATAACTTTACTATATTTATCTTTAACGTAGTATAAAGACTCTCTTAGGTAAAATTTATTTATATAAAGAAGATTTTACTTATAATCTTTTAATATTACTACTATACTATTAGTTATCTAGAGATTATAATAAGCTTTATAAAGTAATTATATATAAAATATTTTAAAAATACTTATAAATTATTTCCTATTACTTACTATACTTATAGATAAATAGCTATAATATAGTAACTAAGTAAAATATAAAAAAGGTTTTATTATTATAATAGGATTTTATTAAGTAATCTTAAATATTTCTATTAAAGACTAGAATTTAATACCTAACTATATAAATACTATTAAAATCCTTTATATAATTTTATACTTTTAAAGTAGACGTTTTCTTTTAATTATAGAAGTAATAGAAAAGTAAGTGCTATAGTATAATTATTATAGTGCTTTAGTTTAGTAGTTTTACTTTTTATAAATACTATAATATAGATTAGAATTTAGTTTTATAAGAAGACCGGACTGTAGTCGAAAATCACAGCACTATAGAGAAAATTACTCTTCTTCCAGCGTCTGGGGAGCATCAGAATTCTTTGGATGGCCCGATATGACTCAACGAGGATCTGTCGTAAACCGCCTATTGGAGGGCGATGTACGTTAGTCGAGCCTAGGTAAAGGGTCGGTCGCTGAAATCTTTAATAGCTGGTCACACTTCCCGATGAACCTACTAATTCGCTGGATTCTGGATAATGCTTGGTTCATATCGAAATAAGGTAATTCTGTACTTTGGAGGACTTGTTCATTGGTGCGTCCTCGGAGATGTCTAAGGTCTTCGCTCACATGCGTTAACCTAAATAACTTGGTTCATGAAGAGTGCTTCAAAAAATAAATATGTGTTCCACAATTGCGCGTCTTCTTGATCAGTTCGGGAGAAGTTCAGGTCAGACCTTCTCCCAAGTTCTCCTAAGCCATACTGGCTCACACGGGTACGCATGTTTCAAGAATTGCACTCGTGCCAAGCGTCCGACCGCCACCTCTCCAAGTTCACCATTGGATACACTGGTTTGAGTGTTAGTCGATGTGACGTGTATGGGCCCAGATATTACGGTGCCCTCGCAACAATGGCATCGTAGGTGTCAGTCTAAATGCTTCTGACTACAGACATGGCATATTAATATAATAATATAATAGTAAAGTAAGCTTTATTTAATATCCTTTTATTTTTTACTAATTAAAATAATAAAGTAGAAGTAAAGTATATAAAAGAGGGGGTATTAAAGTAATTAAATAGAACACTTTTCTAGTTAGCCTTAAGCCTATAAGTCTTTAATTTATAGTCTACCTAGTAGCCCTCTAGGTAACTCTAAGGACTTTAGCTTTTATAATACTAAAGATAATAAGTAATATAGTAAAAAAGACTCTATATTATCTTTAGGTGTTTTATAATAGTAATCTAAAAGAGAAGTAAATAAAGCTCCTAAAATCTATATTTAAATATAAGTTAAAGCTCTTCCTATCTTTAGATAAGTCTTTAATAATAAGTAACTAAAAACTAAGTGTAAATTAACTAAAGTATATTATATTTTAAAAAGTAGTAGCTTTAGAATAAAGAGTAATAGCTTTAGAATAAGAAATATTAAAAAGTAATTAAAAAAAAGAAGAAAAAGGATAAAATTACACTATAAAGAGAGGAAATATAACTATAAAGAGATAAGCTATAGCTTAAGAAGAAAATAATAAAGCTATAGAGATTAAGAGAGAGGTAAAAGAAGAAAAGACTTTTTCTATAGTATAGCCTAATAGGCTGTATTTACTTATTACTTATAAGGTAGACTTTATAGATTTCTAAGGAATTCTTTTTTTTATTAGTATTAGATTATAAATTTAAATTAATATATATAAGAAATAAACTAAGATTTTATTACTATTATTAAGATTAAGATAATAATATAACTACTAAATAGTATATACTAAATTATATTTATTAGGGGGGAAGTAGCCTAATTATTTAGTATTAGCTACTAATTAATAGTAGTATATATCTTACTTACTTTAGCTAACTTTATTTTATAACTTATAGGTATTATAACGTTTATTTTACTATAAACTATAGGTAGTTCTTATTTACTATAAATCTAGCTAAGGTATATTAAGGATCTTTTTAAGATATATTTTAAAAACGTTTCTACTTATATCTTTATTTATAAGGTATAGTATATTAAGAAGATAGTTATTAGCCTAAATAGCTTTTACTTTTTAAGGGGTTTTTAATATAATATTATTTTTTATTACTAGCTTATATATATTTATATAAAAATCTATATATATAAGACCTTACTTATAATCTATTAGTAGAAAACTTACTAGTAGTATACTTATTATTATAACTCTTTAAACTACTAGTAAAAAAGGGAGTAGTATTATAACTATAAGTTACTTTAATATACTTCTTAAAAGCACCTAGTAAAGACTACTTATATCTTTATAAGATATTAGCTTTTATTTTCTTTTATATCTTTATAGCTTACTATAAAATATAATATCTATTTATTATTATTTAAGAAGTAATAAAAAAGCTTACTAGCTATAATAATAATACGTCCTTACTACTTCTATTAAAGTATTTTTATTTATAAAGAAAAATTATACTTAATTATACTTAAATAGTAAGAGATAAGGCTAGTATAAACTACTAGTACTTTTACTAATATACTAGTAAAAAGCTAGTATATTATAGTACTTTAATAGTATAAAGAATATATTTAAAGTATATAATAAAAAGGAATTACTATTATATAACTAAGAGGTTTTACTTATATTTTTAAAAGTTTACTATATATAGTTTATTAAAGCACTAAAAAATAAAATAAAACTAATATTTAATTAATTATTATATAACGTTTTTTTACTTAATATATAACTAAAAATATAAGAAATATTATATAAAATTAAGTAGTTATAAAGTAGAAGTTATATAATATTTAGATAAAAAAAAACTTAAAAATATTTCTTATTTAATTAGGTAACGTTCCTTATTTAATTAAGTAATATTTTCTAAACGTTATTATTAGTTTTACTAGGGTAGTAATATAGTTAACTATATGTATTAATAGGTAAGTAATAAATAATAGAGGTAAATACTAGTTCTAAATTATATATAAAGGAAAGAAAACTATTATAGGATTATATAGTAAATCTACTATATAATATCCTTATAAATCTAGTAGATCTATAGTAAATTAGCTATAGTTATTCTAGCCGTTTAGCGTTAATCTATACTACTAATATCTAGGCAATAGTTAACATTACTATAGTTATGTCTTTTTTAGCTTGTTTTTCCTTAATTATTTAGGAAACGCTTTTAGAATATTTCTTATCTCTCTTTATAATAACTCTAACCTCTAAGAATTCTAGGACACTAAATACTTATTTAGGTAAGAAATATTCTAGAAACGTTTCTAAATCCTTTATTTTTTATAGCTTAGGGGTAAAAGTATAAGTATAAGTAATCTTATAGGTATAATATAGCTTAGTAAAAGTAAAAAGTATTTCTATTTATTATTAGTAAGTAAAATAATCTAGAAATATTTTTAGTATATACTAAAGAGATTATACTTTAGGTTATAGTTAGGGTAATAGTAGTAGTACTAAACGTTATAAGTAGAATTATAACCCTTAGTAAGAAAATAATTTATATAATAAGAAATAAATTAGTAATATTTTAAAAATATTTCTAAAAGTAAACTTACTATAACTAACCTTATTTTAAAAAGTATAAGTATTATAACATATAGTAGCTTTTATACTAAGGTCTTACTTTATTATAATATAGTTAATCTAAATAATATTAATTAGTAAAATATACTTAGAATTTTTTAAGTTAACTTATATTACTTTAGGTATTAGTTAAGAAAAGAAATAAAGCTAGGTCTTTAATAACTACTTTTACTTTATAAGGGGTTATAAGCTTAGTGTTAATACTATATACTAACTTATATATATTAATATAGTACTTTATAAAAAGAAATAATTAATTAGTTTAGAAATATTTTATAATTATTTTTATAGTTACTTACTAATAGTATTCTAATTATTATAGGCCTTTAGGCTACTAGCTATAAATAAAGCTATCTTAAAAAGGTAAGTATCTTTTAGATACTTCTTAATAGTACTAAAAGAGGACTATTTATATTTCTAAAAAAAATTAGAATTAATTAAGAAACACTTTTAAAATAAACTTATATTATAATAAAAAGTCTTTTTAATAACCTTTTTACTATTTAGGCTATTAACTTTATAAGTAGAATTAATAGTATAGTACTAAACTTTATTTATAGTAATAATAATATAACCTTACTTAAAGATTATAAGCTTTAGAAATATTTTAAAAACGTTTCTATATTACTTATAGTGTTAGTCTTATAAGAGGGAAGGCTACTAAGGCGCTTATTTTAGTTAGTATACTACTTATAGGCCTCTATATTATAAAAAGTAAAAAGTATTATAAAGAAATAATTTAGAAACGTTTTTAAGTTATTATTATAATTATATAAATAAAGGTATAATTATAAAATAAATTATTATATAAAAAAAAAGAAAAAAAAATTTTCTTAGTTAGAGGAATAAATAGACCTTAAAGACCTAGTAGCTAATTATAGACTTTTAGTATATACTTCCCTAATTAACTTAAGAATATTTCCCTTATTTTTACTTAAAACTATTTATATTTTTTATATACTAATACTTAATTAGTTTAGAAATATTTCTAGTATATATATCTTAAAAAAATCTTTATATACTAGTTCTTAATTAGTCTAAAAATATTTCTATAGGGTATAACCTATTTTTTTTTTATATTCTTAGATTTTTTTTTTATATATACCTACCTATCTATTAGATAAAGCCTTATTATCTGTATCTATTGTCACCTTAAGCCTGCACAGGCTAGCGTGCACAGTACTCTTAGGTTGTCAAGGGGGGGGCATTATCAGCTTGTCTGTAGACTCCTTTTCATGACATGTCGTTGCACAGGCCCCACTTTGCTTCCGTCAGCAATCGGCATCTCGCTGCTGCGAGAACAAACACACGCACTATATAAATGGGGGCAATTCATTCCAGTCAGACTAGAAACAATATCGCTACAAAAGTCCTTGCTGTACCCTAGCAAACGCCATACTCATGCAAAGCAAATTCGTCCGTCACCTCGGTCCCAACCAACGTAGGCTCGTCTTCCATTTGCCTTCGCACGGCATTTAAACCCATGTTTCATGTTTCTTCGACCAAGCAACGCTTTTCACCCCATGACTCATTGTACACGACAGGATTCGAACACTCATGCACCTTGTGACGCCGTCTACGGCTATGGCTTCGGTTCCACTAGCGTTGGTGCGATCCGTCTCTTCTTGGGCTCGCTGCCCTCCTCCTTCTCGCCTTCGCTGGCGTCGCGCTTGATCCCGCTGGCTGCCGTGCCGCTGGCCGTACCGCTAGTCGAGCCGCTTGCTGTGGTGGTCGCCGCGTTGGTGCGCGGCGTCTCGGGCGGCGTGGTAATGGGAACCCCCGTGACCTTGGTAGAGTTGGCGACCGCGATGCCGGGCACGCTACCGACAATCAGGGAGGGGTTGGTGACCACGTTCGAGGACTGTGTCGCCACGGACGACGTCGAGTTTGATCGCGCCGGCGACTGGGGCCGCTGGCTCACGAAGCCGGCAGACGGCGGCGACGGGGCGGTAAAAGAGCTCATCGAATTGCGATGATGATGCGTCCCGCCGTTGTGGAACGGGGACGGAGGAGCGAACACCGCGGTCGAGGTGGGAACCGGGGTGTTCTGGCTCGAGGACGACGTCGGTGCTGCTGTGCTGCTGGGCACGGCCGGGTTCTTGGTGGTGGTGGTGGTGGTGGTGGTGGTGGGCAAGTCTCCTTGGTAGACTTGGCCCAGCTCTCCAGGCGCGAAAGACAGGGTTGAGCAGAAACCGTCCGAGGATGAGACCAGGAGCGTCAGTCCGTCGCTCGACCTGGGCACAATGTTAGAGAACAACCGCCAACTCGGTTGGTACGCGAAGCACGACTTACCAGGCCAGGTCCGTGAATGTAGCACAGTGGAGGTTGCTGACGATACAGATGGGCGTTCGCTGCTGAGAATCGTAGAGAAGGACCGAGTCTTGGGTGGCGACTGCATATATCATTCTATACGGCAAGGCGAAGGCCGCCTTCGGGCCAGGAGTAGCGACGCCCGGCTCGGCCTTGTTCGGCACAGGGCTCGACTCGGGGACTGAAGTGGGCGGAGGAGGCGGGTCCATGACTGATGTGTTTCCCGTCGGCTTCGAGACAGGATCCGGCAGGGCGGGTATGGGGTCCTCGGAAGAAGACGTGTCGATGGTGATGTGCTTGGTCACGGGGGGCGACGTCCGCAAGGTGTAGAAGATGGGCGAGCATTTCACGACGACGGATGGCTTCTTGTGGCCGGGCAGGTGCGCAATGGGCGCCTTGTTGATGCCGCCTCTCGTGTAGATGTAAACGGTATTCGTCACCTCAAAGGTTGGCTTCGCGCTGCCCTCTGAGTTGTGCTGGGTCTGGTACTGGCCGGCCGGGGTGAGGAGGAGACTGCCATCGGGCGTGAAAGTGAGACGGCGAAAGAAGGACGACAGCGTCTCGTTTGCGTACAGGGTGGAGTTTTTCATGCCGAGACCGCCCGATGGGTGAGGCTTCGGCGAAGGCTCCATCGGCATGACGGCCGGCAGGGGCATCGACGGCGCGGGGGATGGCGAGCGTCGCGACGAGAACGAGGACTGCCTGCTATGGCTGATGACGCTCGGCGGGTTCATGGGCAGCGCAACCGAAGTCGGGGTGCCGGGGGCGGACGGCACGGGGGACCCCACGGCCTGTTCCAGGGTGAGATGGGCCCGCATGTTGAAGTCCGGAGGCGCAGGGCTGCTCGAGGATATGCGGCGAGGCGGCAGGTCACTCTTGCTGTGGCTCGCGATCTTGGAGGGCTTGTCGTCGTGGTTGCCGCTGAGGGTGTTCTGGCCGTCCTTGGTCTTGAGCGAGTAGATGTGCACGGATCGGTCGGACGACTGGGTGGCGATGTACTCGTTTAGAGGATCCCACGCGACTCCCTGGACGTAGTGGCTATGCTCGGCAATCTGGCGTACCAGAGTACCTGGGCAGGTCAGGTCAGCGGACGAAGGCGGCAAAGGCGGGTTCGGCGGAGAAACGTACCGGAGCTGGCACTGTAGATTCGAGCAATGTTGTCCATGCTCCCGATGATGAAGTAGGAGCTGTCGGGAGACCAGGCCAGGTCGTATATCTCGGAGCCGCTAGACCGACACATGTGCTTGGTGCGCCAGGTCTCCTTGTCCTCAAGACCTTCGTTGCCGAAGGCGGGGCCGGTGTGTTCGGACATGACCCAGATGATGACATTCCCATCGTCGCCTGCGGAAGCAAGGATCTCGCCTGGAGGAGAGGGAAACAGTCAGCGGGCGCGGCAGGAGACAAGCTGGGAGGGCTGGATGGGGATGTACCTTTGGGGGCCCAGCGGACGACGTTGACTGCTTGCGAGTGCTTGGTCAGGGTGGACAGGTACTCAACCTTTCGATCTTCGCCGTCGCTGTCGACCTTCCAGAGCTGGGTCGGGGGTGTCAGCCTCGTCAGGCCAGGGCAGCCGCGTCAAGAGGTGGTAGGTAGGCAGGGTCGGCGGTTCAGGGTTTGGACGTACTCTCACGTTGTTGTCTCCTCCGGCGGTGGCCAGACGGCCTTTGCCGTGGGGTTCGAAATGAGCCGAGTAGACGGGGGCATTCTGGTCGTGCCAATTGATGATAAGCGGTGTGCTCTTCATCGTGACTGCGTGTGGGTGCGACCGTTTCGAGACATGTGCGGGATCGTGGGGAGCTCGAAGAGTCGGAGAGGGTTCGTCGTCGGCTCACAGGACGGAGGTTCGTAGGGCAGGGGAGCGGCGGTGCCGTCAAGCGCAGGGAGGAGGAGCTTATTAGGGGGGGGGGGGGGGGATTGATTCCAATCGTGGTTTCGAATGGTACAGCTCGGGAGCTTCGTGCGGGATTCGCGGCGAGCTGAGATTGATGAAGGGGGGCCGATAGGCTAAGGCCAAGGCTGAAGCCGAGGGTGAGGTCGAGCGTTAGTTACTACGTAGCTCGGTAAGAGGAAGGTCGAAAGATTGGGGTCGGTGTTGCGGCCGGCAGGTCTTGCAGCAAGCAGCGCAGTTGGTCGACAGCTTGCGCAGCTGACAGAGGACCAAGGTAATGGAGGATGTGCGTGTACGTGTGTGTGTGCGTGTGTGCGCGGGTGTGGTTATGCGGGTGTGGTTTGGGTGCTGGTGGTGGTGGTGGTGGTTTAGATTGGTGGGAATGGTGTGTGCGTGCGAGTGTTTTAATATAGGTACCCCAACGTACGTAACGACAAGCGAAGGGGGAGGAGGTGTGGAATTGTCCCCGGAAACAATGAGGGAAGAAAGGGAAAATTGGAAAGATGAACAATTGGACTTGGCAAGGAATTGTCACGAGGGGCCTAATAATGGATTAAAGGTCGTTCCTGAGCGAGCAGGGCAGGGTTGTGGAGTTTTGGGGGAGGGATGGTTTGGCTGGGCCAGTATCCGTATCTCCCGGCGGGCGGTTTGCAAGGAAGCTCGGACGGGGGGACGGGCTTTCAACGCAACAAGAAACAGCAAAGTAAGGTTAGGTACTCCGTAAGCTGAGCAAGTAAGAAGAAAGCAAGCAAGCAAGCAAGCAGGCAAGCGAGCGAGTAAAGCAAAGCAATGGACGCGCTGCACGACGTGACTGTGATCTGCCTGTGGATTCATCACCCGCAGGTGGGGGGGGGTGTAAGGCGAGATGAGATGTTGGATCGGAGACGGAGGCCTTTGTTGCAGCTGCAAAGCAGCGCAGTGCAGCGCCCAGCATCGGCACCAGTGTTATGTGTGTACGGTGTGCCAGTACCTAATACTCCGTATCCGTACATGTGTAAGTATCCGTACATATCTTACCTTAGCTACCTACCTGCCAAATAACCACCTACAAGTACATTAGGTACGCCGTACCTTACCCAGATAAGGCAAGATACTACTACCTATGTAAGCAGGTACCTATCTATGTAGGTTAGCTGACCCGGTAAGGAAAAAAGGTGCACAGGGAAGCAGCCGGTCGCAGGCCGTTTCCGACGGGTGGTGGTGGCCAATCGGAGACCTCTGTCGCCCAACCCAAGAGACTGACAATTGACAAAAAAGAGACTTTGGGGCCGTGAAACCTTGGTTTGGTTGGCTGTGCCGCAGCTGTTTTCCCAAAACAAAACCGGCCCTCTCTTTATGCTGGAACCAGCCTTTTTTTTTTAATTTTTTTTTTTTATAATCGCCATCATTGTTACTATTGCTGTCATTGCTACGGAGCACCTATCGTTTTACTTACCTACGTCTCGCCTTCTTTCTGTCTTGTTCTATCCGTACTCTGTTGCCAATTTCATTTTTCCCCTTCTCCTTCCCGGCACTCATTTCAGCCGAAACTTGGCCGAAGCCCCCGGTCCCTCTCTCCTTTTTCTTCATCAACATGATGCCGCGAGCAAGGAATGGGGGCCGTCGTCCCTGCCTTATGATGCAAATTGCTGATGCAAGACCCATCCTTTCTGGCCCCGGCTGTTCGTTCGTGCGCATCCCTTGGCCCCTTCCATCCGGCAACTCCAGCTGTTTGAGCAGAACACACAAGAGCCTCATAGATGATATCCACAGTGTAGCAAGAGCCCGAAATCGGTGTGCAATGGCTGTATGCATATCTGAAGGAGAAAAAGAAAGAAAAGAACACCTCCCCAGCCATCACTCCAAACTGCAGTGTCGCTGAACCGTGTGTATTGGTCGGTGCTAGTATTTAAGCTCATGTGCAAGATTCAATCGAACGGCGGCTCGGTCTGGGTCGATGCTGGCCATTGGCCATCCGCTCCGCCCCGATCAGGGCCAAGAGATGGACCGATCGATAGTCTGCCCTTCGGCCGGGTCAAAACGAAGCACCCCCCTCCCCTTCCACACCCATCTCGGTGACTCTAACCTTAGTCCGCGCAGCCGCCACCTCCCGGGTGTCTTGCTTACTGTTTCTGACTCATCCGCGCGCCGGATTGCCTCGATATACACGCAACCTGCAAGACGCTGGCGCTGGCGGTGAGCAACGCGGCACGGCACGGCGCGGCAGGTCTCCAAGGCAACCGCCCAATCGCAGACGGCCGAGGAGCCTCATCCGGCCGCCCCACGAGCCGTTACACCGCGTCGGGCGTCCGATCCGCCCGCTTCTTCAGTTCGCCATTCGGGAAACGTCGAAATACAGAAGAAAAAAAGAAGAAGAAAAATCACCGTTCGACCGTCTGGTACGTTAGCGCGTGCCTAGACGCAACTGCCGGCCCCGAGCTCGACGTCGAGTGACGTCCCTCGGCTGTCGTCCATACTGTCTATCTAATGCTGGCAACGTGACGCGCGCTAATTGCGGCAGCACGAGATGGGCAACCAACTGGAGCAGTGCCCTGCCCGTGCTGTGTCGGCCAACTGGTGTCAGTGTCTTGCCGGGTGGTGTTCTGCGGCACGGTACTTGTGCGGCCTCAATCGCGGCCTATTGTCGCTGCGGGTCCCATTCGACGCTTGTCAAGGCCGTAAAAGAGAGGCCAGAACATGAACAGGATGAGTCAATGAGCGAGTACCGAATTATCTAGGTAAATGAGTAGGCAGGTAGGTAGTTGTTGCATCAATATCAGGTATCAGGTATCAGATGCACTAAAGCAGGATGGTGTGTCAGCAGCTGCCTAAAAAGCTGCAGCCCTTCGTGGCAGGTGCGGTGTTTGAGGGTAAGGTTTCCTATCTAGGTACGGAGTATCCGTAGGTAACTACGATGTGTGGTGAGGAGGAAGAGGAACTTGGATGTTCCCCACCCCGTATCAAAGACCCCCCTACGCAAAAGACGCAGAGAAAGTCGAAATCGAAATGAGAAAATGCAAGAAAAAAAAAAGGCCTACGCGGGGCGCCAAGAAGGGATGCCGCGGCCGCGCCCTGCAGAGCGTCAGCAACAGGCGCCGGGTGGCACAGCGTAGTAGCGAGCCCCGAGTTTGCCAGCGGCTTTTCTTCCCACGGCGTGTTAGTCTGACCGCCCCTTCCAGTTGTGCACCTGCCTGCGGCACAGCCCACCGTTCCCCGGTTTGCGCAAATTGCAGAGTACATTGTACTCCGTACGGATACATAGTACACTATTAAAGCCTTCCACACACACACACACAGCCCGCGTATCCATACTCTCCTTCCCGATTCAGCCTATGACTGTGTCCCAGTCACAAGTATCCGCACGCAATATCCGTACAGTAACTACATACTACATGGTATGCACGTCTACATAGTATGAGTCTTTCTCGGCTCAGCCCCAAAGACCCGGCCGGCTAGCCCGGCAGCACGGCGGGGACGATGTCTCCGGGTCTCGTCTCGTCGCCAGGTTCCTAGGACCCCTCCCCCCGGCGCAGGAGTTCTGTGCTTTGTGAATTGGCCTCAAACTGAGGTCTACTATGTAAGTACTACATACCATAGCAGTTGCGTCTCCCGCCCACCCCTTCAAGCTATAAGCTAAACCCCGCGAGATCAACGAAGCCAACGCATGCTGCAGCTAGCTCAGTTCACGAGCATCCAAGTCGATGGCAGCACGTCACCCAGCACGCCGGCTTGGGGACGCGCATTAGATCATGTTAGTGCAGGATGACTGCATGTGGGGTGGAGCGCTAACAAGGCCCCCTTTTCGAGACGCGAGGCGGAGGTCTCCTCTAGTAGTATCCGTAGGCTCTCCCCCATCCATCCATCCATCAAACAATCTCGCTCTCCGGACCGACACACAACCACACAGGGGTCTAGTGAGGAACTTCTGCCAAGTGGAAACCCGCTCGACACCCTCCATGTGGTATCGCTTGGGGTGGGGGGGTTCCCTTTTATTTTTTATTTTTTTCGCATCATTATCTTTCCCAATTCTTTTAGTACGCTTTTTCCCTTATCCGCCGGTGACTCAAACGCTCAGCCACAAAACGACCAATTGAAACTTCGGCCAATCACCGTCGCCCCGGCCGTCGACTGCTTCGTTAGGTCCTTGACGGCTAGCAACAAACCCAACCATGGCCGTTGGGATGTACCTATGTTGGAACATGTCATCATCGGCGACGTCGCATTGGCTGCCTGGTGTTCTTATAAACCCGACGAGTCACAAGTCCGAGATGTCAGCGCTGGGTCATCTGCACGGGCGCGGCAACGCAATGCAGGCCGGCGACCCGTGGCGATGGATGGCGAGAGCTCAAACCGCGGCTTTCGAGCTGCATGGTTGAAGGCTGGAGGAACGCAACGAGATGACATGGAGACGGTGGGGATCCAAATCCCAATGCAGATAGTTAATCCCGGTGAGCGAAAAGCGGCATGGTGTGGGAGCAGCAACGAGCATGGGTGAAGGGGATGATGGATGGGGTCCTCTCTCCCTCTCTCGCTCTGCGAACCATCCACATGCCGTCGACTATTAGCCAATGGCCGTCTCAGGCGTTCCTCAGTTGCGACGCGGCTCAGGGTTTCTCTCTATCCGCTATACTCCGTACACCTCAGTCGCTTTAGGCGGTAACGCTGCTAAGCTAAGCTTTGCGGGAGAAACAAGTGAACGATACATGCCTTTTACCCTTTCTTTATCTTGACTGCGAGGTTAGCTAGGTACTCTGTCCGTCAGTCCGTCCGTCTCCCTTGTCTAGTTTCCTTCTTCTATTAAATCCTGAGGCTTCCCCCGGCCATTGTCTTGGCTTGCCCGTTCGCCGCTCTCTCTCTCACTCTCTCACTCTCTCCCC